ACTTTTAAGATCTGAGCTATTGTGGATTTTTTTAAAGGAACTTTACAAATTTAAGAAAAGATACAAAGGTACGCTTCGGTAATGTCAGTCATTTCAGTTTAAGGTTAAAAAAAAAAATTTTAAGCTGATTTGCTAATTTACATATAAGCAATAAAAATCAAACTTAATATCATTTTTTATATTGGCGTATTGTATTATTTACAATATTTTTATTTGTTTATTTGTAATGAATTATTTTTTAATATTTTTATTATGCATATAATTCGTATTGTTATTAGTCTTTGTCGAATAATACTCGTATAAAATAATTTTAATTTTTTTTTACATTTCTGACGTAGTTTGAAAGATTATATTATTGACTCTGCGATGAACTAATTATTCTAAATATATTTTTATAAAGTTAATATATTGCTAATCATTTTTATTAGCTATTGATAACAAATGCATTATGAGAACAATTTTTAGATTTCGATATTTTATATATAATTAGATTCAATAAATTAAGTATTGAGAATTTAATGTTTTTAAATTTGCAGTGAATTTAACAGTCTTCGTTTACCTACGTATGGTAAACAATTGATAAGATTAATTTATTGAATTAAAATCATAAACTCATTAAAAACTACAAATGAATTTATCAAATTACCAGAGAAAATTATGTTATTGAATTATAATTATAAACGGATTAATTAAAATGTTTACTATAAAGATAAAATTGAAAATTAATCTGAAAAGAAAATTATTTATTTTGCATGAGTTTATTAGCATAATTAGAAAGTTATTATTTCTATTATTATGACCAATACATCAATTAAGTGGATTATAATTTGTAAGGTTTGGAATAGGTTAAGTGAGGCAGTATTCTTCAACAGTAGGCAGTATGCTAACAGTCCATAAGTTGTTTTTTAATACCACAAAAATAAATATTTATTTTTACATTCTATTAAAATTAAATATAAACAAATTGCTATTTATTTAGTTTTGTATTTATTTATTTTTATATATCAAATGTCGAATATTCTACATATTTTTATAAATATTTGAGTCATACTGACTTTTATATATCCATGGGTTAAAATCTGGAATATTTACAATCTCAGCAATAGCCTAAGGATTTAGGTAATGTGGTGAATCTTAAAGTAAACCAATCACAACAAATTTTATTCTAACTTCATTTTATGCCTTAAATTAAATTAAGATCTTCAAAAAACATAATTGCGAAGAGTATTTATTCCAATACTTAGAGCGGTTTTATCTTATTTAGTAGACATTAATTTTACTAATATTTAGATTTAAAGTAATTTCTAAATCAAATATTAAAAAAATGAAAAAATGAAGTAAAAAAGGAATTCGTAATGATGATTGTGGATTAAATCCAAACTCAAATGGAGAATTCTTTCTCGATCATTAAGAATTTTTTTGATAAAATTGATGCTGAAAATAATACAATAGAAGAAATTAAAAAAATAATTACTCTCATAGTTATTACTAATAAAATTTTCTAAACTATTATTTTATAGACTTTATGATTGGAAGTCATCTACATATTAATTTAATATCAACTAAGGCTGAGTATGATTTTGCAATAAGATAAAAGCATTTCTACAGTCTACACATATTTTTATTTCTCCTGGCTATAAGTTGTGAATTTAAATTAAAAAATTGCAAATGCTAATAAAATCTTTATTAAGAATTATTAAGAAAAACTTATTGGAAAATGTTTATTTCTTTGATAAAATAATGTGAA